GAACAATAACCAATAAGGCCTACTGGTTTCATCCAGTGCTGTCTGTAATGAAGATTTCATAAGTAATGTGCCTTTTATTTAGCACCTTCATTGAAAGGTATGGTTTTCAACTGGTACTGTATATTCATTTCACTGGTCACTGTAAAATAAAGGAAATGTAGACAGAATGCAAGAAACTAGTACTAGCTCTCACTGGTATAATAAAACACCATTTCTGTTTTATTAGAAATAGAAGTGATTGTGTTAAGAATCTACCATTCAGTCTTCTACAGGCTCTACCTGTTCTTAATTTAGGGAAAGTCAATTTTATTAGACAAAGAACTTGGAAATTTGTATAATTTGTGGGGAATTTTGTGAACCTTGCCTAGAAGAAACTAGTGTCTCTATTACCATCTTCATTAATTCCTTCAAGGTTTTAAAATAATTTGGATATCAAGGCAAAGCTGGCACAACCACTTTACCTGGGGAGGAGGATTACATTATCCCATGTCCAAACTTGTCCTCAACAGGGTTATTCCTCTTGAAGACTCTGAACGAGGTGTTTAAGTAGAATATCTGTCTCCAAAAGCTTCATGTACACAATGCTCTGAGGATCTCCTACATAGGGATTCCATAGATCCTAGTACATCTATTGCCATTATGTATATGGGAATGGAACCATGAAGAAAGGATACCAATGTATGTAGAGCTAAGCATCCTAGATACAGGGATTACGTTATAAAATAGGTTCCTAACTGGATTAGGGTCAGAGAAATATAACATAGAATAAACAATTATGCATTCCCTGTCCTTTGTGAAGTAGATGAACAATGTAATACCTTTCAATCCAAAGAAAGAACTGTGGATATAGGGGGAGACTGCATCCCCTTGTTTATGAATAGTACTGAAGAGGACACGGGTTCAAATAAGGAGACAATTTTGACCTGATCTCATGCTTAACAGTTGCAAATGTAATGCAACATCTAGATCCATTGCCATTCCCCATTTATGCAGGAGATGGGGAAAGGGAGATAATAAATTTTATGTAGTTTTTACGATTGAGGCATAGCCTGTCTTTTTGTTCTATGTATGTACAGGAACTGGTACCACAGTAATACACATAATAATTTTGTTGCTATTGGTAGGAAAGATAGGGACTGTCGTTGATTTGCTACGATGAAGAGTGTTTCTACATTTATATCAACTATTATTATACCTATTTGTACATGTTGACTGATAAAAATAATCAAAGTTCTCAATTAAAGTAATCAAAAGAGCCTAAAATCATATTAATATTTTGTGGGTTTGCTTTTTGGGTTTTTTTTTAATAAGACTACCCAGATTATGGGATATAAAGAAGGACATTCAAATGAAGGTGTAACCTCAAAGCTCTTGATTCAAAAAGACATATGAAAGCATGTGACAATTCTTCATCAGTGACAGGATAGACAGCCTGCATCACCTTTATAATCCAAATTGCCGAAGGATCCAGGAATGGGACACATTAAAATCCCAGAAGACCTCATGAACAGAACTGGCAGGAATTTTCTGATGAAATAAGTTTAATAAAAAAATGTTAATGTGCTAAGGCCAAAAATGTTTCATTTGAACTGGAGAGATCCCTGTAGCTGCTCAGTGAATCTGATGTTCCTTTCAATTTCATTGCTATTAAGAAGTGAAACTAACACTGAGCAGCTCCAAAGCTCCAAAAACTTCCACTTCACTGGAAATTTCAAAAACGTGTTGTTTTCAGTTCAATTCAAACCAAAGCCAAATTTCAATAAAAGAAAAAATTTTCATTTTGTTAAAAATGTTACTTTCAGGCAGTTCTAATCAGGAATGAAAGAATACTGTAAGGGATGAAGGGGTGAGAAACCACCATAAGGTACTTGAATAGATGAAAAACAAGAAACTTGTACTTAAACTGAAAACACATTTATATAATGGAAATAAAAACCTATACTTGAAAGGATTACACGTCAAGATAAACAAAAGATCTCAACAGGCAATCTAGCTTTCTGCTTAAAACTTTTTATCTAATAATAGTTGAATACAGCATTTGGTCACTGTCTGATTAAATTAATTATTCCTAAGGGACAATAGAATATTCTGTGGTTCAAATTACTAGACAATTCAATGACTATGGTAAAAAATGCCATCCAGATTTAAAAGAACTGTAAAGATTAATCGATTTTTATAAAAGGTAAGTAACTAACTTTGCACAAGATAACTGCTCTGTGCAAGGAACTAGAAATTATATTTTTGAGCATGCTTGCAAGTTTTATAATTTCTACTCAACATGAGGTTTGTTATATTCCAATTATTAAGATGACAAACTTTCCACAGCTAGGATTTATTTGGGAACCATAGCTAATTTCCAAGTTCCACTGCCATGCAAAATTGCCTCTCATCAGAACTTTAACAAAATAAACTGATATTCTTTTTATATTTAGGTACTGCAATAGTCCTTTAGGATTTGGAACACTGCAGTTAAGTGAAAAAAATGTATCTAGATTAAAAGCATTCTCTTTGTTCCTTTATCTTCATCTGCCCACTCCTCTCTTCCTGGGGTCCATGCTTATTTTATTTTTATTATCAGTATTCAGTATCTCATTTCATCCCCTCCCTGCAAACCTCCACTATTTGGATTCTATCTTTTGCTTTCATTCCTCTTCCAAATTCTGGCTGGGAGACAGAGTTCTTGTAAGCATAATGTTCAACAAACTAGCAGTAATATTAAAGTTTAGAATTACAGGATCAACTTACAGAAACAGTAATGAAGCATTTTAACAAGGAATGCTGTGAGTTCATTTATAAAGATCTTGTAATGTGAAGCTGTAATACTTGATTAGTAGATCAGTAGTCACTTTAGGATACATCTACAGTGGTCACCATGAAAGAAATAATTTAACAACCACTGCTATCCCATACCCAAGATACTTAAGTAGCAAATTTCTTATCAAAACTTATGAAATGTGTTTATATTCAGTATGTATATAACTGAAGGTAAATGGTGGTCATTGTACATTATATTCGTTTTTTTGAGAAGTCCCTTTGGATAAAAGTGGCAATATTAAAATTATTAGAAGTCCACTGTTATAGAGACTGCAAGAACCACCAGTGCATCACCTAAGGGCCAAACAAAATGACGCACAAAGTAATGATATCATCTTGTTAAACCACATCTACTGGCAGCAAAATATAGAAAAGGCAGCTAACAGTTGAAACAAACTAAGAATACACCATTGGTAAATATCTCTGTCTGTAAACACTCAGACTTCAAATAAAGAAATGTGTCACACAACAGCTCCCTGTAGAAAGGACACCACAATTTAGATGCAGTAGAAATTGATTCAATCACTGGAGATATTAAGGGTATAGAGACAGACTGAACAATTGTACCAAATCAAAAGATATCAATACAACCTGTTACCACAGATGCATCTCGAACAGGTCCAAGGAGGTGATCCTCCCTCTCTATGCAACACTGGTCAGGCCACAGCTGGAGTACTGTGTCCAGTTCTGTGTGCCCCACTTCAGGAGGAATGTGGACAACATTGAGAGGGGCCAGAGGAGGGCCACCCACATGATCCAGGGACAACAGGGCAAACCCTACAATGAGAGACTGCAGGACCTGAACCTGTTCAGCCTTCAGAAGAGAAGGCTGAGGGGGGACCTGGTGACCATCTATAAACTCACTAGGGGGGACCAGAAGGGTTTGGGAGAGACCTTGTTTCCCCTAGCACCCCCTGGCATAACAAGGAATAACGGCCACAAGTTGTTGAAGAGGAAGTTTAGATTAGACATCCATAAGAACCATTTCACAGTTAGGGCGGCTAGGATCTGGAACCAACTTCCAAGGGAAGTGGTGCTGGCTCCTACTCTGGGGGTCTTTAAGAGGAGGCTTGATGCCTACATAGCTGGGATCATTTGAGCCCAGTTTTTTCTCCTGCCCAGGCAGGGGGTTGGACTTGAAGATCTACAAGGTCCCTCCCAACCCTACTTCTATGATTCTACAATGCAACTGTTACTTATATTGCTACAGGATCATGAGAATGTATCTACGACTTTAATCCTGCTTCATTCAGGGTCAAAGTGAGGAACCCAAGTGAGCTAAATTGCATCCCTATGGATAATGAAAATGTAACAGTTACATTGTAAGAGCTGATGCAAGACCTCCCAGGCTGGAGCTCTCCTTTTCCTTTTAAAGAAGTTAAAATGTAAGTTCTTTCATACCCTGACTCAAAGTGTATAGAAATAACAGGAAAGAAACCCAAGGAACATACTTAGAAGTTATTGTCTAAATAGAATCAAAAAGTGCATAAATCGGGATATACATGCAGTGTTTTCTGGGTTGTTGGTGTTTTTGCCATTTTGTCTTCAAGTTTTGTTCCACTCACCTGACAGGATGAGCAAAAGAAATATAGCTACTTGAGGCTACTTGAGGTTATGAGCTATCAAAATGAATACATAGTGATTTAAACTGAATGTATCATCTATTAGCAGATTTATGCCCTTGAAATGTTAGTGAACAAATGAAAACAGAAAATTAATCCTTTCTTGCCAAGTAAATTAATCCTTACATCCTTTGAATCAACCTCAATTTTCTTTTCAAGAGGAATAAGCCTTCTAAGGTTAGGAAGAAAGATTCCCATTGAATATGCCATCTATGTACAAGACTTCTATTGAAATTAAACATTATAATAAATACATTTTTAAACCAGATCTTTTCTAAAAGTGTTGACACAGGATAGGCTATGCACAACTAAAACTGTGACTGGAAAGAGAAAAATATATACTGACCTCCCACTTAGCTGCAATGGAGGTTCTGCTGCTGATCCTTTTAAGAAATCTTGCTTCTCTGACATATTACGTTCTTTATACATTAGCAGAATACCATCATCCTTAATATGAGAGTGTGTACTCAATTCTGCTAAACAATTTTCATTACTTCTCTTTGAAAGATCACCTGTCATAGCTGGGTCTTCAGAATTCAGCCTTTCCTTATCTGCAATAGTCAGAAATAATATTTTGCAGAAGTGTTCTCATAAGAACACTTATAAGAAGTCAACACAGCAAGAGGTCTTTAAAGTGAACCATGGGAATTTTATTTCATATTTTACTAATCATTAAGGTTAGCTGACAATTTAAAAAAGAAAAATCTTTATCTAAGTACCTAAATGCATAAAGTTCTCCTTGGCATTAAAGATTGTTTTAAAGCTATCTAATACATTTTAAGCATTTTGGATTTTCAGCTACTTTGCAACTTTTCTTTCCTTTTAAAACTAGAACATGTAGGGGTGAGATTACTAGCCAGAAGTTAGATACAAAAAGGAACTTGAGCAATAAGTGAATATAAGTTCACAGGGATATACTTGGTAGCCGTATCGGTTTGAGACATACAAAAAAAGACATACAAAAAAACTAGAACTCTTGGTTCCAAAATGATACCTTTTGTTAAACCAACTGAAAAATGGCAAGAAAACTGTCCTTTTCTGCTCACAAAGACACTCTCATGGACCCAGAGGGACAGACTTCCATTTTCAGCTCCCTGTGTAAAAATGAAATTTATTTCCTACCTATGGGGACTTTTTACCATCTTGTACCATCTACAGTTTTCCCAGAGCCTGATGAAGGGACTTTGATCCCAAAAGCTTGCAGAAAAGGCCAATTTTCTTGCCATTTTCCAGTTGGTCTAATAAAAGGTATTGTTTTGGAACCAAGAGTTCTAGTTTTTTGTATATCTATATGTTCACAGGTACTCTTTCAAGGTTAGCAGGTCCTCAAAAGACAGGATAGAATTAGCCTTCTTCATAGCTAACTACTAGGCCTGCACTAGTCAGCAGCGATCCAATCCAGCCGCTTTGGATGGCTGCGATCCGATCTGGAGCTCCAGACCGGGTTTCCGTCTCGATCCAGCTGAAGCAGCTCCAAAGCTTCGGAGCCATCTCAGAGATCTGACCTTGGGGTATAATGGGGAATCAATGAAATATCTATAACCTTCTTGTTTTTTGTCTGATTTGGATGAAACTTGCAGGGATTGTAGCCTCTGCTGAGAGCATAAAACCTACCAAGTTTCAAGAAGTTTGGTGTAGGGGTTCGGGGGGAACCCTACCCCAAATTCCTGAAAGTCAAACTCATGTCATGGCTATGTGTTACACCACAGGGGGGTCAAAACTACAGGGCTGGTAGCTCTTGCTGAGTTCACAGAGCCTGCCAGGTTTCAAGAAGATCGGTGCAGGGGTTTGGGGGAAACTGCACCCCAAGCGGCAGGCAAGCAAAACTCGTGCCATGGGTGACACTGTGTGTGTTAAGGTGCAGCGGAGTGATAGCTGCAGGGGTGGTGGCCCCTGCTATGACGCCTGCCAGCTGTCGAGGAGATTGGTGCAGGGGGGTTCCGGGGCCCTACACCCCTAGCTGCTGACAGATAAAACGCATGCCAAGACCATGTCCATCTTGGGGCAGTTGATTGTCTGTATTGATACTTTCCTTTCCTTAGCCTGGATTTGTAGGTGCTAATTGATGCTCGTTATATAGTAGCTAGGTCCTGTGTATTGAGCTGGTCCCTGAATGCTCGGTCCCCTAGTAAATCATGATTGATTGATTGGTAACTGGTAACACAGTAGCTTAGCAGCCAGGCCTACAGTAGGGCCTCCCCTCCATGCCCCATGCCAGGACGCAGTCAGTCCCACAAGCACCCATGGCATGAGTTTTGCTTGTCTGCAGCTTGAGGGGCAGTTCCCCCCAAACCCCTGCACCAATCTTCTTGAAACTTGGCAGGCTTTGTGGCCTCACTAAGACCTACCACCCCTGGAGTTTTCACCCCGCTATGTTGTAATGCCTCGACGTGACATGAACTTTGCTTTCAACAATTTGGGGTGCTGTTCCCCCCAAACCCCTCCACCGATCTTCTTGAAACTTGGCAGGCTTCATCCTCACTGCAGCATCAAACATCCCTCAAAATCTCATCCATATTGGACAAAAAATAACAGTTACAGATATTTTATTGTTCCCCCATTATACCCTATGGCCGGATGTCTGAGGTGGCTCCGAGGCAGCTCCAAAGCACTTCAGGAAGCCTAATGAGGACAACGCTTTGATCCGGATGTGCTGCTTTGGACCCCGAAGCATCCAAAGCTTCTCCGGATCCGAAGCTCTGTCTGAAGCCTTGCACAACCCTAGTAACTGCCTCCCTGAGGTCTTCAAAAGGAAGCTATGCTAAAGCAAATATAAATGTTTCAACAATACTGAAAAAAAAATATATTTTGCCTATAAAATAACAACATTAAGTTCTCAGTATTTCAAAAAGACAACATCATGATTGGGCAGGGCCGTCCCGGGGGGGGGTGGGGAACTGCCCCAGGCCCCACCAATGGCAGCGGCAACTTCTTCACATCTGGGGCACACAGGATCGAGGTGGGGCCCCACATGGGCTGATTTACCCCAGGCCCTGCACCCTGCTAGGGTTGGCTTCAATTGTGGATACAGGCATGATTTAAGCCCATATTTACTGGAACGTTCACAAACTTCTGAATAAAAGTTGAAAAGTGCTGAACAACTTTTTATACTCTTACTAGCCAATTATCCATCAAGATGCTGGGGGGGGGGGGGGGGGGGG